GAGCAGTCTTTGAAAATAAATTCTGAATTGCTTCTGTCAGTCATATTCTATATTATGGTAACGTAAAGGAGGGTAGAATGTAGTTTTTTACTTATACATATACCATACTCAAGTGACAAAGGAAAAGAAAAATGATTCTCACCTTTTGTGTTGTCCGTGAAGCAATCGCATATGAATCATCTTTTTAAAGCCATCATGTGTTTGTAGGAATGATTTTTAAACACCTGTTTGTGTTGATTACCAACTATAAAAGGTAAATAAATCACCTGGGTTATACTATTGTGCTTATAAGTATTATATATTTTTGTATTTATGTTCATAATGGATTTTAAAACTGGAAGTTCATTAAAAATTTTGTTAATTACTGAAGTTTTTACTGCTAGAAAAGATAAAGATGATTTTAAAGATGCTAAATTAATTTATTACCATGCCAAACAGAATTTGTGGCTTGTAAATTCTGTTCCTTAGAGATTCTGACTCTCTAAGATATCTTTTTTGGTAACAAAAAATACTTTGAGATCTTCAGTTTAAGAGCTCTAAGTATAGTAACTACTTTTGTTTTCTCCCACACAGGTAGGGAATAAGGATTGTAGTTAATTGTCATTAATTGTTAACACACATTTAATATATTATTTACAACCACTAAAATATAATACATATACTTACCACTAAAATAACCATTATAGAATTAATCAGTCCCTTAGAATCATCTTTTTGAAGATGGATTATTACTATATTGGTTACTTGTAAGAGTTTTCATTAATGGGAAATATCAGATGATAAAATCTGGAACAATAGTTAAATAAACAACCATTTCCTATTTATACAGCTATTGATATCCTGGGGTAAACTTTGTACAACTGTTTTGGAAACAGTACTACCTAACACACTACTGAGAAGTCTTTGATTGGTAGGTACTTGTGTGATATTTCCTCCCTTATTTTTCTTGATGTCCATTTTAGTGGGCTAAATTTCATATATCAAGGTTTTTCTGCTTGACTAATCCCTTTAAGTTCATGTATATCCTCTGGGCTGGGCATATTCTATTTGAGGAGGCAAGAATGTAGTAGGAGCTGCTTTTGCCCAGTGTCTCAGCAAATTCCTTGAACACATATGTTTTCATAATTTTTGTGAAACTTTGGAACAGGCCCATGGAAGCCATGGGAGCAGATGTGGTGTGGAGAACAAATGTGGTCTGGATGTGTTTCATTAGTTCTGCTTGTGAGTTGGAGTTGGCGGCTCATGCCCTGTGTTATGATAAAATAATGTTTTCTATGTTACCTTCTTCAAAGAATGAACACTCACTTTTCTTGAGTGGAGTAGACTGTCTAACTGGGCTTATTGTGATTTAGTGAGATACAAATCATAAAATAAAAAAAATTGTACCCATACAATGAACACAGAATTTACTGGAATAAAAATAAAAAAATTTGGGTACAATGAACACAGCATTTACTGGAATAAAAATCTCTTGGCAGTATATTGCAGTCAGAAAGGACGTGACAGCCAGCTAATAAATGATAAAATATGTGATCATTTTGTGTCACATAAAGAACTCTGATGTTCATAGTATTAGGGAACAGACAGTGTGTAATCCTTGTACTACAGGCAAATTTATATATAGTTAAATTGGCCGGGGGTATATATGAATTTGTGTTGGATTTTGTACTTTAATCTGAATTCTCTTATGCTTTCTGCTCTTGCTATGTTGATTATATTAGGATTGGAGATAATGATTGTTGTACTAGTTCTCTTATTGGAGAAAAATATTTGTGAACAGCAAGTTGATGTTCCTCTAGCACCCTCTGCTGGAGATAAGAATTAATTCACCAGACTAGAAGATTTTTAAAAAATATTTATTAGGAGGGCTTTAATTATGTCAACAAAACACACTCTTGAAGAAATTTGTTTAAATATGTGAAGATTTTTTTTGCTGTCCTTACTGATTAATTTATTGTTTTAGTAATTAATAAACAGTTTATAAATTTGTTTTCTTCTGGACATTTCATTTAAAACAGGAAGGTATGGAAATAAAGGTGGGATCTCTGGTTTATTATTTCAACCCGTTTGATTTTGGTTTAGGCAGAAAAAAAAGTCTTCGTGACTTTTGGAGTGAAATCAGATAAATTGATTCATATGACAACATGTACATGAAAAATGAAAATTTTGCCTCTTTTATCATGGAATCACTGAATATTCTGTATTTTAATAAAATAACACTTATTTTGACAAAACTATGTAAATGCCTTTTGGAATATAAAAGAATATATTAACATTATTAGACTGGTTTCTTCTATTTGCCCTTTATTAGCTTTTTGCCTGTTTTGATCCTTTATTCTCAATGTCTGTGGGTTATTTCCTTGACACTGGTTAGACTTCTGACTTGCAGAACCTAACACAAGTATTTTGAATATTGAGAAAGTTGACTTTAGTTCTTCAAGGACAGGAACTTCATCTTGTGGCATTACATTAAAAAAAATTTTTTTTTTTACTAGTATTGGCCCTACCTAGGGTAATACTCATTTTAATCTGGCTAATCATTAAGAATTTTTCTGATCCTAGTATGTATCACCTTCGTACCTACAACCAGTGGGGATCCCTTGTTCTAGGATTCAAAGTCAGCATTGAGAGGAACTTTTAAACAGAAATGAAGAAGCTTGACATAGGTGGCGGTCACTTCTTTGAAATGTCATTGGTTCTTACACTTAGGGATTCTTTTTATTTTTTATTGAGATATAGTTCACGTAGTATTGAATACACTCTTTTAAAGTATGCAGTTCAGGGTTATGAAACCATTGCCACTATCTGATTCTGGAACATTCTTATCACCCCAATAAGAAACTTTATGCCCATTAGCAGTCAGTGCTCATTCCTTCCTTCCCCTGTCCCCAGCTTTTGGAAACCACTCATACACTTTCTATCTCTCTGGATTTGCCTATTCTGGCCATTTCATATAAATGAAGTCATTTAATATGTGGTCTTTTGTGTCTGGTATCTTTCGCTTAACATATATTTTCAAGGTTAATCTATGTTGTGGCATGTGTTGGTACTTAATTCCTTTTTATGGCTGAATAATATTCCATTTGTATGGATATACCACATTTTGTTTATCCATTCATCAGTTGATGGGCACTGGGTTTTTTTTCACCTTTTTTGTGTTTATGCTCTGCACTGTAGCAGACATTATAGGAACATGTTTTGCTCAAGGAAAAGTGTAGTCATTTCTCACTTATCCACAGACCACTTGATTAGTTTTTGGATTATCCTATTTTTATTTATGCCCCTTCTGGTTGTGATGCATTACCATCTCTGTATGCAAAAAAGAAATGGTGGGAGAAAAGAGGAAAAATCAAACTAATCAAGCCGAGCATTTAAAAAAAAAAAACCTATAGCTAAGGCTAAATGACAGAGTAAGTATAACGAATAGAAACATTTCTTGCCCAAATTTTATCTAAGAAAGGAAAGGAAATTACTATTGTCTTTCTCTTTCACTGTTGAACTATCTATATTTGACAGACAGGACTCTAGGTGTGGCGGGGCTGACTCCAGCTTGAAAAACTAATAAATTAGACTTTGTCATAACAAAAACTTTTGCTATGTGAAAGACACTAACGTTAAGAGAATGAAAAGACAGGCTGTAGACAATATTTGGGAGTAAATATTTGCAAATCACGTACCCAACAAATGACTTGTATCCAGATTATATAATGAATTTTCAAGATTCAATAATAAAAAAACAAACAGCCCAATTAAAAAATGAGAAAAAGGGGCTTCCCTGGTGGCGCAGTGGTTGAGAGTCCGCCTGCCGATGCAGGGGACGCGGGTTTGTGCCCCGGACCGGGAAGATCCCACACGCCGCGGAGCGGCTGGGCCCGTGAGCCATGGCCGCTGAGCGTGCGCGTCCGGAGCCTGTGCTCCGCAACGGGAGAGGCCACAGCAGTGAGAGGCCCACGTACCGGAAAAAAAAAAAAAAAAAAAAAAGAGAGAAAAAGATTTAAGCAGAAACTTCACCAGAAAAGATATACAGGTAGTAAATAAATACATGAAAAGATGCTCAATGCTATTAATTATTAGGAAAATGAAAATTGAAACTAAAATGAGATACCATTACATTCCTATTTGAATGTCTAACCCTTGCCCCCAAATAACCCAGAAGACTACCATGCCAAGTGTTGGTGAAGATGTATGAAACTGGAAACAGTTTGTGAAACAGTTTGTCAGTTTCATAAAACATTAAACATACGCCTACCATCTGACCCAGTCATTCTGTCTTTCACTATTTATCCTAGAGAAATGAAAGTGTATGTCCATACAAAGATTTATACATAATTGCTCATAGAAGATTCCTTTGTATAGCCCTAATATATAGCCCTATATATATTCCTTTGTATAGCATCCAATTCAAATGTCCATCAGTAGGTGAACTGATAAACCGATTGTGGTGTATCAAACAGTGAAACACTTTAACAGTAAAAAGTGAACTATTGATATGTGCAACCACATGGATGAAACTCAAAATAATTTTGTGGGGAGAAAGAAGCCAGGCAATAAATAATATGCACTGTGTGATTCAATTTATATTGAATTCTGGAAAACAGGAAATGATCTATAGTGACAAAAAAGCAGATCAGTGTTTACTTGGGGGTTAGGGGTGGGGTGGTGAGGACTGGATGATGGGGTTACCAAGGGACACAAGGAATCTTCTGGGGTAACAGAAATATTTGTCTGTCTTGATTATGGCAATGATTTCGTGGGTGTATATATACAAAACTTAACAAGTTATACAATTTCAATATGTGTAATTTATTACATGTAAAGTATAACTGAATAAAGAAAAAGAAAACAAGCTCTGGAGCATTCTTCCCGAGCATTACTTTTTGCAACATGACTTTTATACTCTTGCAAATGAAAAAATGAGGCTATAGTAATCCAAAGTGTTAATTACAATATAGTGGCCTATATTCAATTTAAACTCCAATGTTTAAACTTAATGTTTTCAGGCAACTACTCTAAGAGTGAGGAAATTAGAAGAAGATATTGAAGCAGAGAGAGCAGCACATTTGGAATCGAAATTTAATTCTGAAATTATTCAGGTAAAATGTGAACAACATTTTTTTAATGGATTTTATTAAGCTGGGAAAAACAGCATTATGTTCAGAGAACTAAGGTGTGCGTTTAGAGCAGGTAGCATGTTGTTAAGACATGCGTTATTCTATTTACTATAATGATATAGTAGAAGATAGTCTTTACTCTATTAGAGAGGAGCTGGCACACTACACCCCACAGGCTGAATCTTACCCACTGAGCGTGCTTATGAAGTTTTATCTTGTCCATGGTGGCTTTTGTGCTACCTTGGCAAAGTGGAGTAGCTGCGACAGAGACCTTACGTTCTGCAAAGTCCAATGTGTTTGCCATCTGGCGCGTTACAGGAAGATCTGCTGATCAGAGTGTTCTTTTTATCAACAACCTTGGGATGAATTTCTTTCTGAAAACATTTTAAAATATGCACCTTCATTGATTGAGTGCATATCCTGTGCATATCACCTGTCACTATATTAAGAGCTGAAGGCATAAAGGTGAACGAGCTCCTTTTGGGACTCAAAATTCCATTACCAGAGATACTGTGTACCTATATATGTTGATGTATAGGTAGAAATATTAAATACTAAAATACTATGGGAGCGTAATAAAGAGAAGGATTAAATCTGAGAGGGGAACTGAATGAAGGCATCCTAAGGAAAGCGTCCTCTTCCCTAGGGCTTAGAGAATGAGAAGGAACTCCCGAGGTTAGCAAAGGCATTTTAACTGGGGGTTGGCAAACTACTGTCGTGGACCAAGTCTGACCCTCAGCCTTTGTTGTAAATAGTTTTACATAAAGTTCCATAAGTCCAAGTCCATAATTTAATTTGGTTTTTTAAAAAAGACTTAGACTTTTCCCCTATATTAAAAATTAATTAATAGAATTTGCAGAGTTTTATTATTTAAACAGGTCTTAACTAGGATGCAACTAACTTTGTAAGAATTTTAAAATAATTGTTTTTTACTTTTATCTTTAATGAAATGCCTTTTACCTGCAAAATTATCAGACCCATGTATTTTTTTTTAACATCTTTATTAGAGTATAATTGCTTTACAATGGTGTGTCAGTTTCTGCTTTATAACAAAGTGAATCAGTTATACATATACATATGTCCCCATATCTCTTCCCTCTTGCATCTCCCTGCCTCCCACCCTCCCTATCCCACCCCTCTAGGTGGTCAGACCCATGTATTTGAGTGCATCTATATGTAAAGCAAATTTGTGTAAGTTAAGCTTTTTTTTTTTTTTTTTTTAGTTAAGCTTTTTTGGTTGTTTTTTTTTAGAAAAAAATGATTGGATTACCCAAAATGGCATTAATAGGCAATAAGGCTGAAGTTTTAAATTCATGCAAGAAGTAGAATTCAAAATTAAGTTTTTCATTGTAGTTATATCACTGGGAATATATAGTTAATAGGTATAAAAATGAAAATTGTTACATGTGTATTTTTTACTCATATAATTAAAAATTAATATTTGATACCCAACTTAGTGCTCTAACTTAGGAAAAAAGCAAAAGTGTGTATTTGAATCATAGATCTATAAATATTGACAAATATTTTTAGTGAGGTACACCCAGTAAAATTCAGTTTCAGAGTAGTTTAAAAGCAAATGAGACTACTGAGTTGTAATTAATCACCATCTTACTATAAATGGGAGTTAAAAATATGTTTGAAGTATTCTGTTATTAAATTTGGATGCTATGTCATAAAAATGAGAGTAGATTCACAAGAGTGACTTGGAATTGTTTGTCTATTTTTCTTTCAGTTGGATTGGTTTATCATTTGTGATTGAATGTGCATAGTTTCTGAAAGAACATACCAATGTAGATAGAAGAAAATGTTTCCTAGACTTATTAATTTTTACTTGTACACTGGGTTTAGACATAATAACAACAAAGAAAAATAGTTTAAAAGACCAAATTTGAAAATGTACGAAGTTGTATTGTATCTACATATCTATTCTACTTCCTTACTTTAGTGTAAGAGAATAGGTGTTTCAATTAATCCAAAATAGTTTTGGATAATTAGAAATAATTCTGGTGATTACTATTTGTATGGATTAATTTATGAAACATTTTCATATTTCCTACGCTTCGTTTTTTGGTGAGTTCATTTTTCCTAACTCAGGTTATGTTTTGCCATCCCTGGGAAGCTTGTGTCACACAGAGTTCATAGCTTTTTTCTGATTTCATGGCCCTTTGGGCCTGCTTCTGTGACAGGAAGCACTTGCCTATATTCTCTTATGGTCTGTCCTTTCCTAACAAGAGCTGAGACTGTATATTTTCATGATGATTGTATATACCGTGAGCACTACACTGCCTGGCACATATTAAGTGCCTAATAAATATTTATCTAAACACTTATTAAATAGTTATTATATATTTACATTTAATGTTAAACACATATTAATATTAAATAAATGTTGTCTCATTAGGTCTTTGTAGCCACCCTGTATATTATTATTATTATTGTTATTGTTAGTATTTACTGTTTACAGATGAGGAACCTCAGGCTTTTGGAGTTTAATATGCCCAAGGACACATAAGTTGATTTGTAGAGCTGCGACTCAAACCTGAGACTTACAGTTCTAAAGCCCCATTTTCTATCTAGTGTGAAGCATTTTTTTCCTACCACCCTCCTTTTGTGAGCTTTAGCAAGCTATTTTTTTATTCTTAACTTAATTTTCTAAAAAGATAAAATATTCACATAGTTCAAAAATTAAAACAAAATTGAGGCGATCGGGAACTCTTGCTTACACTCTTGTCTCTCCTATTGTTCTCTCTTTCCTGCTGCCTATCCTTATTTTTTCCACTTGTTTACCTAAAATATAGCATACTACATACAATAATCTGGACTCTGCTTCTCCCAATATGTATTAACACTACACAGAGAACCATGTAGACAAGTTGCTTTTCAAAAGTTATTTTGTAGCCTTTTTATAGCTACAAATTATTCTTTTATGGATATGCACTTTATCTATTCTACTGCTGGCATATACAGGGAATCTAGTTTTTAAAGTGTCTTGTTGTGTAAAATTTCAAGTACATGCAAAAGTAGAGAGAATAGTAAAATGGACTCCCCGTGTACCCATCACTCAGCTTCAAGACTTATCTCACAGGACAATTGTGTTTTATCTATAATATTAGCGCTCTTCTACTCCACCACCCCCAGATTATTTTGAAGCAAATCCTAGATATCATATTACTACACCCACAAATATTGTAGTCAAATTTGATTTTTTTTTTTTTTTTTTTGCGGTACACGGGCCTCTCACTGTTGTGGCCTCTCCCGTTGCGGAGCACAGGCTCCGGACGCGCAGGCTCAGCGGCCATGGCTCACGGGCCCAGCCGCTCCGCGGCATGTGGGATCTTCCCAGACCGGGGCACGAACCCGTGTCCCCTGCATCGGCAGGTGGACTCTCAACCGCTGCGCCACCAGGGAAGCCCAATAGTATTATTTGATAATAAAAATTTTGCTTTTCTACAGTAAGAAATCTCCAGGAATAAAAAGATCTGTTAACTTTGTTAGGCTTATAAAGATGTTCATATAATAATGTTTCTCAAAAGAGAGGAAGGATACTTCCCTCTAGTTTTCAAAAACCACTTAATTTATTATGTTTATAAAAAAAATGTCCAAATGGGTTAGTAGATCAAAATTAGGCACTTTGATGGGACGCATTATATTGTATCCGCCTGTCCCTTTTCATAGCACAGTTGAGTCTGTATTCTTCCACTCTTCTCTTCCATTACACATGTTGAGAAAGGGAATAAACTGCCCTTTGTTTATTTTCCTTTTTTAAACCAAAAACAGAAAGAAAGACTTGTTTGGATGAATGATAATCTGCTGTTTGATAAAGTATTCTACTCAATTTGAGATTGGTGCTAGTGTTTCCTTTCTTGCTTTAATTACTTTTCTGTCATCTGGTAGTTACGGATTCGAGACCTTGAAGGAGCTTTGCAGGTAGAAAAGGCCAGCCAAGCAGAAGCTGTTGCTGATTTGGAAATGATCAAGAATGAATTCAAAGAAGTTGAAAGTGCATATGAACGAGAAAAGCATAATGCACAAGAGAGCTTTGCAAAACTAAATATGTAAGTGTTATACTGTAAAACTCTCTAAATTAATATTAAGAGTTTATGAAATCTACATGAGTATGAATGTGTAGTACTAGGTAAATATGGAAATGCTCTGTTGGATTTTGAAGTATCATGGCAATTCCAAGGAGTCTCAGAAATGCAGAAATACTTTCTTATACTAGAAAGTAAATATATTAATATATTTTATATTTACTGATGTAATATAGTATCTTTAAGGCCTTGACTTCTAGGCCACCTAAAATGGGCTATGTGGGAGATGGGTAATGTTTGAGATATTCGTAAACTGTAGAAATAATAGTAGGAATAATACTGCTATGGGGGCTAACATGTGTGTGGCTCACGTCATACCTAGCATTGCATGGTTTTATTTAATTTATAACACCCTATGAGGTAGCTACCCTTTTTTATCGCTGTTCTACAGATGTGAAAATTGAGGCCTAACGAGGGTAAGGACACACAGCTAAGTGTAGAGTCAGGATCTTTCTGACTCCTATTGATTTTAACCTTTTTCAATTCAAATGTCTATCATCTGAAAAGTTCTGTGAAATTTTTTAAGAAGTTTATAGCTATTTAATATGCTTCCAAAAATAAGTCAATAGTAGACATTTTAAGCATTTCCTCTCAGAGGATGAAATGTGTACCACCATTGGTACATGACATGATAATAGGTTGATATATTAGAGTTATGTATTTATTTTTAATGTTTATTTATGACAGATAGTAGTTTTCCATTTACAGTTATAATGTAGTTTCCTTTTAAAATACTTCATTTAACTTACGATGTGAGTTAATTTAAAGAAAAGTATTATTTAGAGTTGTGAGTATGGCAGGAATTATAAAGATGGCACTTGAAAGACAAATTTGAAAAAATTTAAAACTCTTTAACTGTGATTACCTTTATTAGTAATGCTTATAATACATTAAATGAGTAATTCTTAACTGAATTTTCTTGCTTCCTCCAGAATGACTTAAATGACATTCTGTGAACATTATTCTAAGGACTTATGCTCCTTTATTTCCTTTGAATCATATCTTGAATCTGCACATTTATATATAAATATGTTTGAAGGGCCTTTATGTAGCATATAGTACAGGCTTCTTTACTGTTGCTTTGAGGTAATGATGACCTACTAGTGAAACTGTAAGAAGTCAGACTGTACTCCCAACAATTAAAGCTTTCCAGCAGTGAAATAATAGGCTTCTTTGGGGAACTAGTGAACTCTCTGCCTTGGAAAGTTCGAAACAGGGGGTAGATGATTCTTTGTCATGGATACCGAAGAAGAGAGCTCTGCAAAGGTTGGATTAGAGGAATTCTAAGATAATTGCTAACGTTTAAGCTCTAAGATTGTAACCTATGCACTTTTAAAATTGGACTCCAGAGCAAATTTTTTCCTTATGTTTGTTTTGCTATTATTTGTGTTTTGGTGCTCGAAAAATTTTACTCAAGTTTTGTATTCCAATAAACACAAACTAACAGTTCTAAATATTAATTATGTATTACAGCTAAGCACCAGCTGACAATCCTAAATGCTTTAATATAATGTCCCTTATCTGTTCTTCATCCCTATATAACTGTGCTATAATAAAAGTTACTAATAATATTAATAAATAAACAAGAAACAGTAAAAATTAAATAGTAATTAAAGTCCACGACTCATTGATAGTTTCTGTGACTTCTCTCCCCCATCCCCTCCTTCTTGTCATTGTATGTCATACGACAGCCACTTCCTTTCCATTTATCAGTGGTATGAGAAGGACTGATATGACATGAGGGATGATTGGATAAGTTATTTCATTTTCTACCTATACGTCTGATTCTTTTTCAGAATCGTCTTTAAAATCTTTTAGAGTCACAAACTCTCAAGTATTAATTTTTCAAAGTAGTTCTAAGTTTTGGATAATGTATTTCAAAAGGAGAATTGGTATTTTAGGTCTTTAAGGTAAATAATACCTTTAATTTACAACTCTGAGAGCAGTGAGTTTTGGGGTAGGACATTCTTTTACCTTTTGGATAGATCTGATTTAGCAGTTGGTGATAACGAGGTTATAGAGGAAATGCTGCCTGAACCTTGCAGGTGGTTAAGGGTTTTAAACTTCTGTTTCCTTCCAGGTAGATCTAGGCAGGATCTCATTAAAAGGCAGGAGGAAAAAGCTGTGTGTGTATTTTAGAGTTTTAATTTTGGCCAACAGTTTCATAACAGTGAATATTCCTGCATGAAACTATTTTCAGTGGAATATATATGTATACATATGTAGATGGAATATACATATGTATACATATATATTAGATGGAATATATGTATATATTTAATATATTAAATATTACATATAATAATATAATAAGTAAAATTATTATATATTAAACATATCGTTTGAAGAACTCAGCTAAGAATTTGAATAACAGGCTATTTTAATGAATACATATAATGTATAATTTTAGAAAGAATATATATTCTCTATATTCCTCTAATTAAATTTTCTTAGTTATAAATTTTTTTCCATTGAAAACTTACAGTATAAAACTAAAATTTTTCAGTAATTTTTTTTATACTTGAAATTTTTGGCCGCACTGAGCGGCTTGTGGGATCTTAATTCCCCCACCAGGTATCGAACCTGTGCCTTTGGCAGTGAAAGCACAGAGACCTAACCACTGGACCGCTAGGGAATTCCCTTCAATGTGTCAGGTCTTCATTAGCTGTTGTAACTAACTGATTGTTGGGCAATGGTAGGGAGAAGATCCTTATAATCCTTACATCTAGTTTAAGTTTAAATTTAGTTTAAAATAATGCTAGTCAAGGATATGATACTGAACAGACTGAATCTAAATTTATTTATTTTATTACATTCAGTATTTAGGGACTTCTTTATTTTTCTAAATACATCAACCAAAAGTATAAAAAGAAGTACAAAAGTACTGGGTTGGCCAAAAAGTTCCTTTGGTTTTTAAGTAAAAATAAAAGACACATTTTTTATTTTCACCAAGAACTTTATTGAACAATGTATTCACCATTTTGTTCCACTAACTTCTGCCATTTTTCAGGCAACTTCATAATTCCATCTTCCCAAAACTTTTTATCTTTTTGAGCAGAGAACTGTTCCAGGTGCCTTTTACAGTCTTCCAGGGAACTGAAATTTTTTCCATTAAGAGAATTTTGTAAAGACCGAAATCAATGGAAATCCGAAGGTGCAATGTCTGGTGAATATGGCGGGTGAATCAGAACTTCCCAGCCAAGCTGTAACAGTTTTTGCCTGATCATCAAAGAAACATGCAGTCTTGCGTTATCCTGATGGAATATTATGTGTTTTCTGTTGACTAATTCCGGATGCTTTTCGTCGAGTGCCACTTTCAGTTGGTCTAATTGAGAGCAGTACTTGTTGGAATTAATTGTTTGGTTTTCACTCCCTTTCAATCCCACCGTATACACAACATCACCTTCTTTGGATGAAGACCGACCTTTGGTGTTGTTGGTGGTGGTTCATTTCGCTTGCTCCACGATCTCTTCTGTTCCACATTATTGTACACTTTTCATCACCCGTCACAATTTGTTTTAAAAACGGAACATTTTTGTTACGCTTCAGTAGAGAATCACGTCGGGAAATACGGTCATAAAGGTTTTTTTCACTTAACTTATGTGGAACTCAAACATCAAAGCGATTAACGTAACCAAGCTGGTGCAAATGATTTTCAGTGCTTGATTAGGATATTTTGAGTATGTCGGCTGTCTCCCCCGTGGTATAACATTGATTGTTCTCAGTTAATGTCTCGATTTGATCACTATCAACTTCAACTGGTCTACCCGACCGTGGAGCATCATCCGGCGAGAGATCTCCAGCACAAAACTTCGCAAACCACTTTTGACACGTTCGATCAGTCACAGCACCTTCTCCATACACTGCGCAAATCTTTTTTTTGTGTTTCAGTTGCGTAAAATATACCAAAAATTTGCCAAAATATGCCAAAAATTTGCTTTTTTCTTCCATCTTCAGTATCCAAATGGCTACACAAAAATTCACCAAATTTGATAAGTTTTTTTAAATGCACGCTGATATGACAGCTGTCACAATACAGTGTAACAAAATTGTTTCGAATGAAGGTAAAGACAACTAAGGTGTACTAGAGCCAAATTACTGAAAAAACTGAATGAACTTTTTAGCCAACCCAGTATTATAACTTGTGGCACTATTATTGTTTATGTTCTTGGTAAAAGATAGCCTGAAGATGGCTATTTTTTAAAACAGCTATACTGTTGTCAAATTCTTAGCTGAACTCTTAAACAACAATAACAACAACAACAACAAAATGGGAATCCAGTAGGAAAGAACGGCTCTTAACTACAAGTTTCCTTCTTCTCCCTTTCCTTTCTTGCCTAAAATCCTCCATCTGTCAAGTCCTGACTCTTCTCTGTTGGATTCAGAGAGACTGGGGCTCCCTTGAACCTTCAGTTTACTCCCGCCCTACTCATTCCCCTTGGGTGGGGCTGTTGGCAGAAGCATAGGAGCCAACTTCTTTGGGTTGTGCATGAGATTACTGACAGCAAGGGCTGTTCACCATTTCACTGGACTCAACTTGGACTTTATTTATAAAATAGCACCAAATACCAGGTGCATTTAATTTTATATTTGCTGATTACTAATTTTTAAATTAAAATTTGATTTTAATAAAGTTAGCACTTGTACATAATCTAAAAAGTAAAATAGTGCTTTTAAGCTCATGAAAAACCACATTTTGGTACCCCATTGCTTTCTACGACCAGTTTCTGCTCCTTTGAAGCAACCAATTTTAATTCTTATAGCTGTTTCTTCTGATATTTAACTTTGTATTTCTAGATAACATGCATATTATGCCACTTTTTCAACTTCCACCTCTACATGTTATCTATTGGCCTCAACTGTTATTCCTTCAGAGTCTTTCATTTAAGAATGTACAATTCTTTCTATTTGAGAAAATGGGAAGTGACCTTTAAAACCTCTGGGCATGAAACCATGATATATAATACATCTGCGACTTGTGTTAAAGTTGTATAATAGGACCTGATAAAAGCATATTTGAAAAACCTGCTCTGACACTTTAACTTTTCAGATTAGAGAGAGAGTATTTCTCCAAAAACAAGAAACTAAATGAAGAAATCGAGGAACAGAAGAAAGTAATTATAGACCTTTCAAAGAGACTCCAGTATAATGAAAACAGTTGCAGTGAATTACAGGAAGAACTTGTAATGGTAAGGATAAAAAAGAAAACCCTATGGCAGTTACTTTATTGGGTCAAATTGGATGTTTAACAGGTTTTTTTTTCTCACTACATGCCATGAGATAATTGTATGAAAGTAATTTTAGTGGCATTGGTATAAAATTTCAAAACTGGAGACACTGTTCACAACAAAGCTATACATAATAAAACCTCTGTTCTTTGGAATAATTGGGAAAACTAAATGAATTAGTGGAAAGTCTGAATTACAGAGTGTTTTCAAACTGATTCAGGTGTTTTTCTTTTCTTTTTTTTTTTAAGTGCATAAAACAATGTTACCTAGATGGAGGTGGGGTTAGGGTTTATAATTGGTAGATCTAATGATTTCAAAGACTCCACCCGCTTTTTTAAAAAATAAATTTATTTTATTTTTGGCTGCGTTGGATCTTCATTGCTGTGCGTGGGCTTTTCTCTGGTTGCGGCGAGCCGGGGCTACTCTTTGTTGTGGTGTGTGGGCTTCTCACTGCGGTGGCTTCTCTTGTTGGGGAACACGGGCTCTAGGCGTGCAGGCTTCAGTCGTTGTGATACGCGGGCTCAGCAGTTGTGGCTCATGGGCTTAGTTGCTCTGTGGCACGTGGGATCTTCCTGGACCAGGGCTCGAACCCGTGTCCCCTGCATTGTCAGGTGGATTCTTAACCGCTGCGCCACCGGGGAAGCCCTATTTTTATTTTTTAAATTTATTTTTGGCTGTGTTGGGTCTTTGTTGCTGTGCGCAGGCTTTCTCTAGTTGTGGCGAGCGGGGACTACTCTTTGTTGCGGTGTGCTACCAGGGAAGCCCCAAAGACTCCCTTTTATAATCATTTTGAATCTGATCACTCTGTCTCCATTCCCCAATAATCGAGCCTTCACACCATCACCAAATTTATCTTTCTAAAGTATTGATCTGCTCTTGTCACCCTCCATTTATTAAAAAACAATCAATGTCTCCCTGTGGCTTTCAGAATAAAGTCCAACTTCACGTCATGTAATCTAAGGCCCTTTTCTTTGTGGCTCTATGTTAACTTTTCCAGCTTCTTCTATTGCCGTTGCCCTCTCTTTGTCTTGCTTCAGCCACAGTAAAGTACTCTCAGCTTCGTAAACACATTATATATCTTCACAGTGTCTTACGTTTGTTCAAACTGTTTATTTTTTGACCCACGTTGACTGAAATGCTCATTCTCTTAACAGATTCCTATATTATCCTGTGATGGTCAGCTCTGAAATTTTGCAGTCTGTGACGCTTTCTATGGTTCCGTCTTTTCCTACTTTTTCATCCATCTAAATTCAGAATTCTGCCCCCTCCCAACTTTGTGTTTCCTTAGTTCTTAGTTTAGCATCTGTATCATAACACCAAAATCTGATGTGCATTATCTCTGCCAAGAGATTGAGAGTGCATTGAGGCTAACTTCATTTTACATGCCAAGATTCCACAGTAGTACTTGCCTCAGTAGACATTTGTTGGATGGATTTATTTGGTTGATGCACATACTCCTACTCTGCAGTTTGCTCGGAACCCCAAGAGGGAGGGCATAAAGTTTAGAGTAATACCCTATTTCCTCTTTGTCTTGTTCTCCACGTACATACCTTCCCCAGAGACTTGGCTACTTCACTTCCAATTATATTCCACAACTCTTAGCGATGTTAGTTACTGAGGAAAATGAATATTTTTTTCCTTGTCCAAAAAAGATGGAAACTCAGGGTTATACTAAGAAGTGGTAGCCAAATCAATGCTGCCGAGTTAGAAAGGTAACAATGACAAAGAAAGTAATGACGGGATAACATTTAAACTCTTTATCATTTTCAAATGACCCAGTATTATATCCAGACAGGTGGCCCTCTATCTGTCTTGCTTCAGCCACATTAGAGTACTCTTGGCTTCCTAAACAAATTATATATTTTCATAACTTTCTTGCTTCTGTTTTGGTTGTTCATATTTTTGACCACATTGGCTGAAATGCTCCTTCTTTTCCCGTAACAAATGTCTGTATATCCTCTAATGTTCAACTCTGTCTCCATTTAACTCAGGATATCTAGTTTGTTCTGATAAAGGGATTGATATTATTGCTTACACTGTGGTTGAATTTGTAGTTTGAGTTCTTTGGATGTGGGATTTTAGAAAGCTTAGAGCTCTCTGCGTGGCATGCTGTAGTGCCTATTCACTGTTATGTGCTACCCTAAATTTCATGGGCTATCCCACTTCTCACTTCTGGTTCAGGAGGGTGAATCATGGTGGAGAAAAACACGTCAGAGTCATTGAGCTGAGTATTGGTCTTGCTGTAAGCAAACAGTTTGGAAAGTGAGTTATAACTGAGAATGCAATGGTGAAGACATTGTCACCAATATAAGTTGCGTGAATCCTCCTGATTCTGGTCTCCTAGCACTCCAATGACTAGATAAAAGAAGACTGGCTGAATTCACCACTGAATTCAGGGTGCTTTGTGATTAAAAATAATTTACTTGGTGCCAATAGGTTTTTACTTTTTAACTTTTACAATTTGGTGGATGGTCTGAAATAGGCAAGTTGTAGCTCACTAGCAACCACCGTTTGCTTGTTTGGACCATTGGCACTCAGCTTATAAAGCACTATTTTTCTGACTGGTGGAAGAGCCATTGGGATGTTCAGAAACGTATTCAGGTTGCAGCCTAAGTGATCTACAGTTCACATGGTTCAGCCTAACTATTTATATGTTCCTCTCTGTTTTTTCATCTCTCTTAAAGTCCTAGCTTTTATGTCTTATTTTCTTCCATCTTTCTGTTTTCTTGTCCTCCTCTTTTTATCCTTCCTTATTATTAGCTTTCTCCTTTAACTTGTTGTTTTATTCTTTTTAGAACAGTTGCTTTCTATCTCTTTACCCAACCATAATATGAAATTAAAAAAATATTTAATGAAAATACTATTACTTTAAATAGTAAGTACAGTGTTTTATTTTTTATTAAAAAACATCTGTAGCTTTCTTAAATCATTTTTTGGGTACATAGTCCTTTATTTCCTTTTATTTTTTCTGTAGGTTAGTGGCCTTTGAGTTGGGAGGGGAATCTTATAAGTTTCTCTCTAAAGAGATATCTGTCAAATTAAGAATTTTAAACCATAAAAAATGGAGTGTTTTTTTATAGTTCTGCATCCTTACAGTCTGTTATTTTTGCTTTGAATTCATAATTGTTTTTGACGGAAGAGAAAATACCTTAAGAAGAGGCTTTTACCTTTTGTTTTTGGAAATAAAACTTTGTTTTAATGACATCCTATAATCCTATGTAACCTAGTGTGTCTTTCCCACAGTTATGTTTCTATTGAACATAGTAGTGTCAGCTTTTATAGAATATAGATGGGAAGCATAAGTTAGCTACAGGTAATTTTCCTCTCCCTTTGAGGTAACCACTTGTTTTCTAGTTTAGGTCACATTCATGACCATTATTCAAGTCTTGGTCTTTATTTTCTATGTTGCATTGTAAGAGAAAATTAAGGCCACTTTCCTCTATAGGTTTACTAGTGAGATCAAGGTATTATTAATATATGCAAAGGCTTCAGGAAGTTTTGAGACTTAAAAAAAGCAATTGTATAACCTAAGGTCACATAGTCTCTCAGAATTGGAAGAAACCATAGAGATCATCCAGGTGAGGATATACACAGTGTCAATAAGCCAGTTGCAAAGTGATAGCTTCCCTGTTTCAAGAGAGAGAATAAAAATATAGAGCATAATTTTGGAAAAGTTCAAACTGGTTATGTTGAGTCTTTTGTTGATATTTAAGGAATATAAACCCAGCCAACATTAATTGTACTTTTATATTCGTGAAATTACTCCTATTCAAGGTGTGGATTTAGAAGATATGATTAGCAAATGAGTAGTATATTATTATTTTTAATGTCATAGAATTAATAGAATTTCAACATAGGACATCTAAGGATTTAACAAAATTAGTTTCATGTTCCATGTTATACACTATTGAATTTGACTTTAAAAAGTTTTGATTAAAGTTGAACTATTAATTTTAAATTCTATGAATTTAATAATGATTTAATCAACTACTAATTAAAACCGAATTTCAAGTTTAAGCTGCTTAGTGATCATGCTTATTAAAGCCCTTCAGAGGTTCAATAGATCCAGTTGGGTCTTTTAGTCATTACTGTGAGGTTTTTTTTTTTTTTTTGTACTGTGAGTTTATATCTGCTTCTCTTGAAGCAGGGGAGCTATCATTTTCGAATTGGTATTAGGATTTGCTTTGTGCTTTCCACAATGAAATTTTTTTAAGTCCATCATTTCTTGAGATTTGTTTTTCTGCCACTCAGTAATATTTAGTTACAGCTCTAGGAGAGACCACATATTGAAAAGGGAATTCTAGTTCTCATGAGGTTTTGCTCAAAGAATATTTTATTCTCTAAAGAACTTGTGATTGAAAATGGTCAAGTGTATATTTTTTCCCTGTACTTTGGGGGCTTAACTGATTATATAATAATAATGATTGCTAGCATTAGATAGGATTTGGGCAAGTGCTTTGATTGCAGTGCTTTGTGGTAAAGTAAAAGTTTCTTGATAATATTTTTGCATCAAATGATCAGTTAGGTTTGTTTTAGAAGGACATGTTTCTGATTTTGCAGGAGGCATTCAAAACTAATGGGCTGATAAAAATTCTATTCTGAATTTTTACTAAAAATTTGTTGATTCCTGCTTCTTACCAATAATAGGAGTAGTATTTATATATGAGCATTGTTTTTGCTAATATAAACATCACTTTCTGTCTCTCTTAGTGGTCCTTAAAAATTTAATAGTATTAAATAGTATTTCTCAAATGTGTGTATGTTTGTATTTGTGTATTTAAATGTGCATTATATGACTGGCTTCCTAAATTTATAATGTGGGCATAAAGCTTTTTTATTAAGCTTTTTGAAATTTATTAATATGTATATTCTTAAGTTTTGAAAATTTAAATCTCATTTTTGACCTGGGAAAAAATAAAATGGTATTGTGTTTGTGTGCGTGTGTGCACATGTGAGTGTGC